ATTGGGAAAGAGAGATCGGAGAAAATAGTAGAATGTGGATGGTGAGAGAAATTGAAGAATTTGAGTGGGTAGAATTTGAACGAGAGAGAGTTGGATGACAAAATTGTCATCAAAGTAATAGATATAAGATTCAAAAATTAAAGGGCAAAATGAAAAGAAATTATCTTTCTATGTGTGTATTTTATATATACTATATATATATATATATTGATGATATACTTCTTACTGGTAATGACCCGTCTTATATTGATACTTTTGTTACTCGTCTTCAAATGCATTTTGAAATGACTGATCTTGGGAGACTCTTCGGTATTTTCTTGGTCTTGAATTATCATCTACTAGTACTAGTCTCCTTCTTACTTAGACCAAGTATACTACTGATGTTTTACAAAAGTTTAAGCTTTTTAATGACAAATCGTGTAAGACTCCTAGTGCATTTAAAGAGTCTGCTGTGACTCTGTTGCATAGCTAAAAAAAACATGTATTGTTGTTAAAATATTAATCTATTTATGAAACTAATTAATAAGTCATTTATATGGATTTTTTATTTTTCTTTTTATTATCTTTTTTAATAGGTAGTCATTTATATGGATCAAAGTTAATACAATTAAGACATGAACCTCCTCACTCATAATTATCATGCTATATTCAAAACAAATTTATAATTTCAAAATAACAATTAAGTTAGTTACATCAAAATCATATTCACCCAACGCTGAGCATCAATTGATTATCAATTAGTCGAGACATATATCATTGACTAAAAGATCTGAGGTTCGAATCTATACCCCATGTGTTGCTTAACTGAAAAAAAAAATCACCTTTATGGAAATTATAATATGTGAAAAAGTGCTATCATATATTGATAATCCTAATGTTTGAGTGTTTTTCTACCTAGCTATGTTATTTTAAAATTTTCAATTGAGTTCTCTTACATTATAATGTTTGATTCTCTCATGATCGATGAAGGTTAAAATTGACTGATTATAAACTTACATGATAAAATACTTAATGTGCCGCTCATACCGGGTAACGTGTGTCTCCTGCAGCTCCTACGTACCATATGTAACTGCATATGGTCCAGTGCT